ATGTTGTTGTCAGGCGGGGGAGCGGTCCCCGGGCCCCCCGGAGGAGGTGGAGGAGGAGGTGGAGGCGGGAATAGCCGTGTGGAGCTGCTGGTGTTCGGCTATGCCTGCAAGCTGTTTCGAGATGATGAGAAGGCTCAGTACCAGGAGCAGGGGCGACACCTTATTCCTTGGATGGGAGACCCCAAGATCATGATCGATAGGTCGGTGTAACACAACCCCCAGACTCTGCTGCGAGATCTCCTGTTATAGCCTCTTTCTGTTCCCCCCCCCTTATGCTGTGGGCAGGTGAGGGCGGGGGATGAGCAAAGGGCTCACTCTGGCAGATGCGTGGGGATCTTCTTCTCTGGCAGAGTTGGAGGGCAGGTCCTACTGGTAGAGTGCTTTGAGTGTTGCTTTTGTAAGGCTGCAGAGCTGTCCCCCCAGCAACGGGAACGTGGGGTTCCCCGCTCTGGCAGTGTTGGGAGGTTGCCCTCCTTTTGACAATCAGTGCGCGTTGGGTCTTTTTGCTCCACTTGTTAGGGTAGGCTTTACAGAGTGGAGTGGAGAGGGTATAATCTGTTCCTTTTCAGTACAAACCACAAACATCATCTTTTCTCACTTGGAAACCAAGGGAGCCTTATTGCATGGGAGTACTTATCAGGCACTTTATGTATTGTCTAAGCAAGAAGGGTGCAGTGTGAGGACTAGAGAGGTATTTATCCACCTTAGGGGCATTGGGGTTTTGTTATTTCTCCTGAGTAATCAGGCTGCAGGCTGTTGCTGGGATACCCCAAAAGGAGTTCTTGGCCTAATTATGTCTTCCTTATGCCATGATTCACTAGATTAGGCAGAATGGCTTTGACTTTAGGTGCTTGCTTTTCAAATTTTATGTCAGAGGTGGCTTTTCTTGGTTGTTTTGCAGTAGCCAGGGATAGTAATAGAAACTGCTTTGATTTTTTCATGTGGTGTTTAAGTTGTATCAGCAGTGCAGGATGGGATTTAGAAATAAATTTATTCAGAATGCATTTTCTGAATGTTTCCTGGAGAGAGGGAAAGTGGAAGGTCAGGTTGAGTATATTTGAGTGGAGCACTAAAAGTACAGTTTAATAGTTGTGGATGACCCTGAAAACCTCAGTGGGAAAGATGGAAGGATTTTGGTTTGGAAAGGATCACATGACATACTATAGATATTTGTTCCCTCAATTTCATTGTTGTTTTGGTGCTAAACATGACTTTTCTTGTTTTAATTTAGCAACTGTATTTGGCTTGGGAAAATATCAGTGAGGAAGGTCTTTCCATTTCTTTCCGTAAGACTGGAGAAAAAAGATACACCCTTGCACTATTTTGGGGTTCAGCCATTAATGATTTCTGTGTTTGAAATTGATTTGTTAAATTGGAATAAACATGAAGACATGAAAAAGCAACCAGAAATGTTTATAGCTAGGTTTAAATTCTGATTTGTGTGAGAATAGAAGTGTTACGATGGACACTTCTAATCCAGATTATTTTTGCGACAGATCTCATTATTAGGTAGAGGCCATTTTTGTGGTCCTGTGCAACAGTAGCCCAGTTTACAGTCGTTACAGAAATTGATGGGAGCAAAAACTAAGTATGTGCATGTACATGTGTATAATACCAAAAAATCTAAATAACATACCTTTGTAAATTAAGGTAGCTTGCAACTACTAATCTTATAGACTCCTTTGGAAGCTTAGATTCTTTTTATCTCCAGCAGCAGGAGGTCTTCATTTTCACTATTTTAAGAAAAGCACATTGCTATGAGAAGACATGGGTTGAAGTTTGCCTGTGGACAGAGCTTGATTAACCAGACCTACGTGTTTCATTAACGTTTTGCTATAAGAATATTTACTTTCTTTGTTTTTGGTCTAGCAAGTTGTGACAAGTCAAGAGTTGTGTGTGGGAAGACACCTCAGCGGAGTCGAGTTTACTGTCACTTTACTTTTTTGATCAGTTTCTCTTACTGATGCATAAACATTATCCCAATGCAGTGCTTTTCCTGCAAATAAAATTGTTTCTGCTTAGTAGAAAGAAACTGTACGTCATTGATCTTTGCCGTTTTTACGGTGAACCTCCTTAAATTGCATGTATATGTTACTGTTCCTATGTATGTGTGTCTCTCTATCACATAACCCAGAACTTATTTCCTCAGCCAAATGGCTAGGGGCCGAGCCTAGCCATGATTTTACCTCCAATGGACGCAAGTTTCTATGGTGAAGATATCTCCTGAGAGTTCGGGACTAGCAGAAAGAAGCGAGGAAATTTCGACCGTTTGGTTCTTACGGATAGGTATTTATGTATTCGGGTTTGTGTGAATGTAAGCTATTTGACTTTCCAGAAAAACGTATTTTGCAAGTGACATTGATTGGTTGGTTGAAGCACGTACGGTAAGAGCTGTTAAGGAAATGGATCCCACTTAAACTATTAAAGGATACCTTTGACTTTAATTGTAATAATTTATTAGTTTCTCTGAGAGGAATTTAGACTATTAAACAAATTTTCGATAGTTGGTGACAAATGATTAGCAAAATTAAATGTAACTTCTAAAAGGAAGTATGCTTTAACATAAAAGTATTTTTTTTTCATTTTTAATGGGTAAGTATTTAAGTAGTCGCATAAACCCAAGCCCTAAGTTTTTTGCATTGACCAGCTGTTTCATCCTGCAGGTACGATGGACGTGGTCACCTGCATGACCTTTCTGAATATGATGCTGAATATTCCACGTGGAACAGAGATTATCAGTTGTCTGAAGAGGAAGCTAGAATAGAAGCCCTCTGTGATGAAGAGAGGTATTTAGCCTTGCATACGGACTTGCTTGAGGAGGAGGCGAGGCAAGGTATTGCTCAAGGAAACTTCCTGAGTTTAGCACATGTTTCAATAAATAATTATTAAATTAAATTTACTCCTAATTTTGTACTCTCTTTTTCTGATGTTATCTTGACAGTACCCAGTGGATTCGAAAAATGGGAGTCTTTGCATATGTGAGAGGACCTCAGGATAGTTTAAATATAGATCCGCACAGAAATTGCCCAGATTCTGAGGGCAGACTGGGATTTCAGATCCAAAAAAACCCCAAAATAAACACTTTCTGCTTCTTTTTCAGTGTTGTATAAATGAAATTCTGTGCTTTTGTATGCATAATTACATAAGAAGGCTTTAACCTGCAACCTTTATCTCTTCAGGAAGAAATAAATGGTCAGCATATGTATATGCTGCGTTTTTCTATTCAATTTTTAATGAAAGTTAAAATGATTAGGTGAAAACTTCCCATTTGAAAACTAAAGTAAGAAATATTACTTTATTTTTTTAAAATAAATTAGCTTTTAAATATGTTCTAATGATTGGTAATTGCATTTTTGTTCAAGAGGAGGAATATAAAAGACTGAGTGAAGCTTTAGCAGAGGATGGTACCTATAATGCAGTGGGATTTCGTTATGGCAGTGATTATTATGACCCTTCAGAACCCACTGAGGAGGAGGAGCATCAGCCTGCAAAACAAAGAGGTAAGGGGTAAAAATACCAAGGGTTAATTGAGAGGAAGAACACATCGCCTCTGTGTCTCTCGCTTGCAGCTGAAGATTGAAAATGTGTGGTCATTAAAATGCCCATAAAAAATCTCAAAGCATTTCAGTGAAATCTTTGTGGAAATGTGCTCCTGAGTTTTTGCAAACTTCGCTCTTGATGTGCTTAAATGTTTTGTACTACAGCATAGTCAGGATGGGAAATTTAATTCTGTTCTCTCGCAGCTTCTTATTCAGAAAAAAACTAGTAATTGACATGGCTGTCACCACTATGTTTCCTTGTCAAAAATAAAATGATCATTATAAACAAACAGTAATAACTAACCAGAATATATATTTTTTAAGTTTAGATTTTGTCATCTTAATCATTATAAATGGATCTCTCTTCAGCATAGTGTGCCCCTCTCCATGATCTTAAAAAATGCAGAGTTCAGGTTTTCACTTTCCGGTCTTTAATTACAATAACTTTGCATTTTTAACGTGAAGTCTTAAGGAAGCTTTCAAGTGTTACTGAGCTATGTCTTAGTAAAGTGAGGATTGTTTAATTAGCAGTTGGGTTGTCTGACTACATATTGGTGGGTTACTGTGGTGTGAGATGTGCTTTTTTTACCAAGGTGTGTGCAAGGCAGAATCATTTCAGATGCTAAAGGATTTTTTGGTTTTTGCTGCTGTATGTGAGTGGTTGCATCAGGGCAGCATCCATGCTGCTTACATTCTACCAAGGGTTTCTGCTGTGTTCTTCACTACTGTTGCTGAATTGCTTTGTTTTCTGAGTATTATTTAATTTTATTCCCATTTGTCTGGTAGATTACCTAACTGAATAGTTTCTAAGTTCTCTTTACATACAGTTTTTGAGTCTTTCTTGTCATAGGAGTGTTTTTCATGTTGTGTGGATCTGTATGTAGGGATAAGCCTACTGAAAAGTTGGAGATAACAAAGGAGAATATATTTGTATTTTGGCTCCCCCATCTTTCTCTACTTCATGGAGATTAAAAAGGTGGATGCCCCCTCTCCATTAGTCACTGATAAGGGAATCTGCTGTACCTTATAGACTGTCCGTGTTGTGGGATGCCTTTGCAAAACTGCGTAAAAAGGTGCCATAATGTTCTGCCTTTGATCAAGTGTGTAAGGAATAAGTAAAAATTCCAGTTTCATTTGGTAAGAGAGCTGTCGTGAGTTGAGGTTGTGTCTGGATTGCTCTACATTATGTTTCTTTCCTAGAATTATGAGATACCTAGAATAATGTATTTCAGTCTTAATGAAGTAATACTTCTATGAATAATATTAAAATATGATGACTTAGTTGTTGGCAAAGAGAGATAATAACTATTCAGTCTTTCAACAAGTCAATTAATATTTGATGCAGCATGGAAGTGTCATGTTAGGGTATTACAAAATCTTGCAGTGTAATATGAGAATTCTCAGTGCTGCTGATGAGAAGTAGAGATCCTTATAGCAGGTCATTGGAACATCATCTCAATTGTGAGCTTTCCTACCAAACTCTTTATCTTCTAGAAAATTGTTAGTAATGATGGATAATAAAGGATAGGATAATATTAGGATAATAAAGTGGCATTTTCTAGTAACACTTCATAGTGCTTAGGGGAAAAAGTACGTGGGACAAAAGTGAGATAGAAACATTGGTATTACATTTTGCTATAGCTGAACTGCACAGACTTTTAATAGATTGCTATATGGTAACAGTTTCCAGTAATACAGTACTATAAATTCTTCAAATTGCTTTTTTTTTTATAAATCGTGATGGAGTAAAATCCAATATTGGAAGATGCAGATAACAATAATGTGAGTTACAGGCTGTAGTTCTGTGAACACGTCAAGTGTTAGCTGAAGCTGCTGCCAAAAGAAACAGTCCTATTCTGCTTTGTCTGCTGCTTCTTCCTCCTTTCCTTGATGCTGAAATGTCAGTGTGCCTTTGTGGAGTTAAACTATTTGAGTTCATTTAACACAAAACAAAACGAAAAAAAACCAGACAGCAGCAAAAAAGTTAACTCTGTTTATTGCGTGTGTAAGAGCTTGCATGCAGTAATTGCTGTGACATCTCATGTGTGATTAGACTGTTCTGCTGGCTTTGTCCATAGTTCCCATAGTGAGGTTTTCATCCAGTTTGTGCTGTGCAATTTGTTAGGATAAAACTGGAATAAATTTTCTCTTAAAGCTAGTAGAATAGATAATACTAAAAGTTACTTTAAAAGGTAAACTTTACACTTAAATTATTATAAAAATTTGTAAAGCAAGATATTTTCTGAGGAGCATTTCTGGTATACCAAACAACAGAATGTAATTCAAATTGGCCTTCATAAAAGAGTTACTATTTTAGATGAGTAGTTCATGTGATAAATGTTAGATATGTGGGTATGTTAAACTCGATATAAAAGAAACCATCCCAACTTTAGACTGAACTCACAGATGAATGATGACATTTATTTGACTTAATTATTAAAGCAATTACTCTGAACATGATGAAAGTGGATTTTAGCCTCCCTGTTGCATTCTTGTACAACTTTCATTAGGGTTAGGAACCTGGTGAAAGTACTTAGGTTTGTTTGTGTAGGTTGGAATGGTTGATTAATAGGGAATTCAGGTAGACCTGATATATGGATCTTAACAGCTTTAGAGATATTGGATATCTGTAATATTTTAATCATTGTTAGGAAAGAATTCACCCAGTGCATTGACAATGGTTCCCCTTAATTTTGCATGGGTTTTCTTGTAAAAATAAAAGGTAATATTCATGAAAATTAATGTTTTGTATTTGATTTGACACTTATTTGTCTTCAGCAATGTAATCAGGGCTAAGGGTTTTATTCTTCCTAATACCTCTATTAAGATGTAATTTATGCAGTCTTAAATAAAATATACATAACATCAGGGAGAGGAACCATATTTAAATATCTTCAGTGCAAACGCTGGTTATAGTTTCAGTTGAAAAATTCCTTGATTGCACATCCTTTTAGATATACTTTATTTTAATAATTTTTTTTTAACATTTGGGTACTTTGACAAGTTTTGTCCTATAGTATTTCATTCTGTCATTTCTTATAGAAACAGCTCAGACAGAAAATGTAGAAGAAAATGAAGAACCTTTTGTTGCCCCTCCGGGACTAAATGTACCTTCTGATGTGGAACTGGTATGTGTGTACAGTTAACGCAATTTACATTTCTGTTGATTTTCAAGGAGTTTATAATGCTTTACTGGGTTTTCTTTGGGTTTTGTTGGGTTTTTTTCCCCATTAACTTTAGTATGGTAAAATTTGAATTATTCTAAAGTAGTAGCTTGATTTCAAATGTTTTTTCTTGAATTCTTAAGTTCTGTGAACTCTTTTAATCTTCTTTTTCACACCGAAATTATTGCAGTGCTTATGCTAAGTGCATTTAGTGTCACTTGTGTTGTTATTTTAAATAATGCAGAAAAAAGGCAGCAGTTCTTGGAATAGATGCTTACTGAGATGTCAGGGTTGACATCCCAAGTGTAAAGGACCATTAAGCTAAAAGATTGCTTCTGTTCAGGAGTTTTTTTCTGTATTCTTTTTAATTGAGTCCCAATCTGAAGAAGGTGGGAAGTGATCGAATATAAACGCCATGTCTTAAGACTAGCCTATTCAAGGAGAAAAGCAATGGTCTATTTCTAGCAAATTCTGAAATAGCTTGAGAATGTTAGCATGTAGAAGCTCTTTCTTTCATGTGTTACAAAAACTTGCTACATAGTAAACTGTAAACTTAATTGCAACTTGTGTATTTTTCCTGAAAGGAGCTGAGTAGTCACCTGAGTACAGTTGTAACCGTAAGGATTTTCAATTTAATTCAAATTTTATAAAAAATGCTGGGAAGTCAGATAATATTCTTTCTCCTATACCATGGTCACGAAGGTGTTAGTTTATATTTAGGTGCCTTCTCAACTTGATAGCCCTGGTCAGTAAAGATTCAAAGCATTCTGTTAGAATAACTAATAGTCAACACAAGGTATTTGTGTAAGAGTGTTTTTCTACTTCATTAGCTTTTAATTGAAATTTTTTATCCTACTCTATCTTTTATAGAGCTATTTAACAAATCTAATGTGCAACTTTACTCTTTTCTGATTTTACTTCCTCTTCTTTTCGATCCTATAATACATTCTTTTCGATCCTATAATACATTCTGTTAGTGAGGTGCTTACAAACCTACTTCTCAGTTCAGGGAAGAATTTTGTATGTTGCTGTCTTGAAATTATGAGTTATAGTTGAGTCTTAGAAGAAGTACATTGAGTTCTCGGTGAGAAGCTGCTTGTTCAGCATTTTGATGCTGTTCCCAAAAAGTAACAGCTGGTAAAAGAATGTTTGTTCAGTAACTCTATAGGAATGCAACAGCACATAGGAATTGCAATTCTTATGTTGGTCTTAAGATAAAACATGTTCCTTCCAAGCAGATGAATAGTAACAAGCTTTTTGCACGTTCAGTGATAACAGAATAACAAACAGCTGTTGGGAAGAAGACCATACATGTTAAGTCTTCAGAGCACCTTGAGATATTGTAAGGTAGGGCCACTTTAAGTCGAGACTGCAGTGTCAAGAAATACATCTGTCTCCTGTCTTGCGCCAGCAGAAGTGTCTATATGGCAATGGAATGTACCTGCTGTAAAATAATTTTTTTGCTACGTCAAACTCAACCAGGATTTGTTCCCCTCTTCAATGTGGTGTGCAATGGCAAAAATAATTGTGATGCTAGAAGGAGAGGATCTTGCAAATGGAAATGAATGAGCAGTTAGGGAAGGTTTGGACTGGATTTTTTTTTCAGTGCTGATATGCTCTCACTAGTGGAAAGTGACTATGAAATGGAGTTGATAGAGAAAGCTGAGAAGAGGAGCAGGGAACTACTGCTGTTTCTGATTTCTTCTGAGTTGTAACACACTTGCAAGCTGCTTATGAAAATACAAATACATGTTATTTTACTCCCACAGCCACCAACAGCAAAAATGCATGCGATTATAGAACGAACTGCAAACTTTGTCTGCAAGCAGGGAGCACAGTTTGAGATCATGCTAAAAGCCAAGCAGGCACGCAACTCCCAGTTTGACTTCCTGCGGTTTGACCACTACCTCAATCCCTACTACAAATTCATTCAGAAGGCTATGAAAGAGGGACGATACGCTGCTCCTTCTGAAAATAAAGTGGATGAGAAAAAACGTAAGTTGATGCTTGTCAGGTGGATGGCTTCAGGTTGTGCATTGTTGAAACATCCACAAGTCTTTTCTTGGTAAAATAACCACATCTTTTTAGTGTGTTGCTGTTATCCTGCAACTGAGACTGATGTGATAATTTAAAATTTTGCTTAAATTGGAGGAGTTTCTTAAAAGATTGTTCTGTGAAACCTTCAGATACAAGAGCTGCTGTGATCTTGGAGCTTTTAGAAGCATTTTTTTCTGGCTCTAGCCCAACAGAAAGTTGTTCTGTGCATTTAGGTTTTAGTTTTATTGATGACTAGCAATATATTCTTCTATCTGTATTTTAGTAAATAAGGAGATTTATGAAGACAGTAGTTTCTTAAGAGTTCATGTGTGTCCTCTACCACTCTTCTCTCCCAATACAAATCCATAGCAAACCCAAGTAAAATTCAGACATTGCTTTTATTTAGACTCCAGAGTCAAATCTGAGGAAGAAGATGATGATGATGATGACGATGATGGAAATTATCTGCATCCAAGTCTCTTTGCATCTAAAAAATGCAGTAGGCTTGAAGAGCTCGTGAAGGTACTTGACCCTATTAAATTACTTTATGCTTTGTAAAACATCTGATTCATGGGCAGAAAAATTCTAATATGCGGGTGTTAAGATCTTTTGTTAACAAAGATTTTTTTTTTTTCCTGACTGTCTTAGTAACTGAAGACTGTTTTGCTAAACTTTCAAGTTACCTTTTCTGCAGTACATAAATTGTTATTTTTCCATTTGTAAGGAATTATATTTCTATTTTTGATGCCCTCTGGTATTGAGGGCATCACTCAAGGATTTATCCAACAGAACCTGTATTGAAGCTGGAAAGATTAAGATATTTAATGCTTTCTGTATATAAGCTGAGAGAGAATGTTTTCTTTTTAGATTTTAGTAGATAAAATGTTGACATGAAGTAATAGTTTCAGCGAATAATATTTCAGCAGAATTAGTGCTACTCATTAAAGATAAATTTTGCTGGATATGTTAGTTATTTTTATTTTCTGAGTTTGATCAATGATGGAATAATGGGAATGACAGATGGTTGTACACATTTGAGGCTTTCAGAGGAATGGCAGTGGTGCTGTCTGACATTTAGACAAGTTAGGTTCTGTGTCTTATTCCAGCCTTGACAATAAGTGAGTAAGAGTAATACCCACTTTTTTCTTTTTTTTTCTTTTTTTTTTTTTTTTCTCCCAGGTAGGGGACTTCTGTTCACATTAAAGTATTTTTTGTTTTGTTTTCCACAAATTAAAAAAAAATAAGTTGAATCTGATGTGAGAGCTACAAAAACAATAACTTGATGTTTGGACAATATTATTGAGGTCTATTAACTTAGATAAATTTGCTTTCCAAATTAGGTTGATGCTATCATGCTTTAAATATTTACTTCATATTTTAATCTTTTTTTCCTATTCTCAAATTTTTTTCAGCCTTTGAAGGTAGTAGACCCTGATCATCCACTTGCAGCACTGGTGCGCAAAGCGCAATCAGATAATAACTCATCGACGCCACAGTCAACAGATGGGGCAGCTGTACAGACATCACAAGCAGAATATTCTTCTGATTGTAAGTGCATTGTGATTAGGCAGCTGGTGGTGTGTCTTAATGAATTGTATGTGCGTGCTGGTGGGAAGAAAATACGTTAGCTTCATACTTGATCATTCGTAACTGATATTTGTTCTTTTTCAATCTCTTGAATCTTTGAAGATGCATTCTTCCACTGAGTATCTATTCAATTGTTATCTGCTTAGGAAAAAAAGAAATAGGGTGGAGGGGGCAGGCAGGCGGGAGGCCAAGAATCCAGTCTGTGAACATGGTTAGCATAGTACCCTTAATGTTTTTTTTGTAATGAATGCCTTCACTGTTGAATATAAAACTGTCCTATAAAGCAATTCCTGAAGTTCCCATTAAAAAAAAGCTTACTATATTAAGCAAAATGCAGATAAGTCTGCTTTGAACAGTTTTGCTGGAGTGTTTAACACTAAGAAAAATCTGCAAAGGTAAAATCACATAAATTGAAGGATCCTACTAAAGTGATACAACCAGGTTTTAGTGTAGTATTCCGTTATAATGTTGGAAGTAGTTTTACAGTAAATAAATAAATCTTTTACTATATAGTCAATACCTATAATTTTTCATTATTTGAGTATGCAAGATTCAAAGTTAAAAATTAATCTTTTATATTTCTCATTACAATATATGAGAGGGAGGAGTAGCTTTTAAGTTCCATAGCTACAAGAGGCCATTCTTTCTTCTATTTTATTTTTTCTGAAAAGATCAGCAAAAGCAATGATATATTTAAATTATAAAGCAAGCAATGTGGAAAAGTTGTGTGCTCAAATGCTTTTTTCTGCGCCTGATATTGAAATACCAAGACTTTATCTTCTCTCCAACTTATTATTAAATCTTGAATCTTAGATTTTTCTTGAACCATTTCAGATCAGTATAAGTACTATCTTGTATATAACCTCTTTTAAGAATCAACTTTGCTACAAAATTTTTAGTACTATGATCTTAACTTCTCTGGATGTATCTGATTTGCATTATCTTTGAAGCTGTTTAATGCAGGCCTTTTATAAAGCTCCTGCAAATTTTGTGAATTCTGATCCTCAAAAAGATGAAGTCAAACTTAATTGGATTTATGTGCCTCTAATTCTTTTCAGAATTCTGAAAGTACTTGATTCCTTAAATCTAGAAATTTAACTTATTCTTTCATTTATAGAACTTCCCATTTGATTCTACTGAGATATTAAAAAAAAGTATATTGCAGCCTTCAGTACAGTAGGGTTTCATGATAATATAAATTTGTAGGTAATGAGTAGTGTTACTTCAAAGTGGTGGTGGTGATGGGGTTATTTTTAGTAATGTTGTTGCAAATAAGTATCACCATAATGATCTAAGTTGATTTTGGTGCATTGTAGGTTCAGAACCCCCAGATGATTACAGGCATTGTCAGAGTGTATTATGTGGAGAAGAATATGCATGGAAGTAATTTTTATTTAAAACTCTACCTTAAGAGAATCTTAATAAAACTGAAATAAGATTTCTGTGAACAAATTGAAAATTACTGGTTATTTCAAGAAATACTATCTCCGTAGAATAATGCTCGTCAGTTTTCTTGCTACTTTCATGTCAGGTTTGAATCTGAGTGATGGAAACTGGGAGATCATAATTTAGTAGCAATACAAGTTAAGTTTGCAACTCTTCTCCCTGCCTTTAAAACTCAGCAGGTCTTTATTCTGCTCTCCTCATTGGTAACTTATTCTTTGAAGAAAGTAAATACTGCCACACAGGAATTTTTATGAAACATATAAGAGGATAATTCACTATAATTTAGTGCATTGATTAAACTTTGCTTCCAGAAATGTAACTCTTACTGTAAATCTTTTGAAATACTTTACCTGAATACTTTTCTGTTTATACATCTTTCTGCAGAAAATATTTAGATTTACAAGAAGTAACTGCCATTTAAAAGTGTTAAGCTAATTAAAGCATTATAAAATATTGTCCTTAAAGCAAGCAAGCAAGCTGTAAGCCCTTGCACTCTCAAGAAATAAATATTTAGCATTGGAGAAGCCTCTAGTGTGGAAAACCTGTCTACTTTTTGAAGTTTCAGTTAATGTGTGTCTATATATAGTGATACAGGTGTTTAATATATATATATAGAGAGAGAGATACTAGTGGTTTAATTTCTCTGTGTTAGTTTTGAATATATGCACATTTTTTCTTAATGCATACATAGTTTTAACTGAGTTAAACTGCCAGAGGGGAATTAGATTAGGAAGAACAATTTCATATTAGGTAATTTTTAATAAACCTTCACTGGTTCACTTCTTTATTCATACCTGTTTGGCTTCCAGCTGACCTTCACTACATTCTGATTCTGTCTCTTACTCTGCATATTTCTCTGTGTGTTTGTATTGATGCAATAATGTTGTTTGTTTTTTTAATTGGGTGTTTTTTAACGTTGTTCTTAAATATTATTTTTTTTTATAGCAACTGTGGCAGCCATGTATTACAGTTACTATATGCTCCCTGATGGAAGCTATTGCCTCGCACCTCCACCTCCAGGAATAGATGTTGCTACCTACTACAATGCGTTGCCTGCAGGGGTGACTGTATCAAGCACTACAGGGGTAGCAACAGTTCCTCCACCCCCTGGTACTACACCTCCACCTCCCCCAGACACAACCGATAGCAGCAGTGGGTTGACTTCTACCACAACATCTACAAGGTACCACATACAAATTTTCTTGTTGGGTGGAAGGATCTCTTTCCTTCACTTCAATATGAAATATTTAGTAGCGGTTCTATTATTGGTGATTCCTCAGTACCATTTGCCAGGGTTTATGCAGCTTTGATTACCTCCACTTTGTTCTTTTATATTGTATGTGGTTAATTGTTACTCAGCTGCTATGAAGTTTTTGCGTGATGGAAAATCAAGTTATTTTAACTGCATAATGAACCCAGAGAGCAAACCTCTGTAATGTTTTTTGTTAAAACAAGAATCTGAAAGATATTTATGTTCCATTTATAAAAACGGTGTGCTTTTTATGTTTTCAGCACAATTACTCCAGTGGTTGCCATTATACCTCCGCCCCCAGATATCCAACCTGTTATTGATAAGCTAGCTGAGTATGTTGCTAGGAATGGGATAAAATTTGAAACCAGTGTTCGTGCCAAGAATGATCCCAGGTAAGAGAATATGTTATTTTAACTTCTATTTTAAAAGTTGAGGTTTTCATTTTTAAATATATTACCAGGACATGCAGGTCTCAAGAAGAGACATACTATCATTTTTGCAAGTGAAATTCAGGGAACTACTTAAAGGTAATGCCAAAGCATTTTTGCCCAAATCCTCAAACAACCAACCTAACAAAAATGTCTCTAGAAAGCATGCTCTGAATGTGTATGCAGTGGAAGTTTAGCACAAGTTACAGTGCTTCCAAACATCAAATAGTGTTCCATCTGCTAGAGAAAATTAGACGGCAAAGAATTGTTGGTATTTACTATGTTCATGTACATTTTCACATACTCAGCTTTCTTTTAACAGATTTGAGTTCCTGCAACAGTGGCACCAGTATAATGCTTATTATGAATTTAAAAAACAGTTCTTCCTTCAAAAAGAGAGCAGTAACAAATCTCAGGTACGTGTATGTTTGTGTATACATATATTAAAAATGCAGTGTACATGGGAAAAGGACTCGCTTATCTGTTGTGTTACCATGAGACGTTTTAAAAATGGAACTCTCTGAATTATGGAGAAATTGTTCAGCAAAGGATGTGAATGTGGGTTTTTTCCCTGTTTTTTAGTTTTGTATAGCATTTAGATAAGCCTGTGTGAGGTGGTGTGATATTTAGTTCCTGCTTTGTAGTATTAGCAGCCACTCAGTTGTAATATAAAACAGCAACCTGAAAATCTTTTGGCTTTTTATAGAAAGGAATATATGCTTTGTGGAGGTTTAGAGCTTTCTAGGACTGGGATTAGTGTTCTGTTGTCAGAAGGGTTGGGTATAGCTTATCAACAGCCATACCTTCTCGTGTGCCTCATGGTTTTGTGGAACACTAGCACAGGACTAAACTACTTTTCTGACATGCTTTTTTCTGAGGGAGGTTTTGTTAAGTAAGAGTCCTGTGATGACTGACTGAAACAATATTGGAGCTTCAAAACACTTTTCCTACTTGCTTTGCTGCTTCTAGTCCATGTTATTAGAAGATGATACCCAGACTTGGCATCCTTGCTTTTTACTATTCTCATGTTAGCTAATCTCATTTGCTTGTTCTCTTACTGAAAAGAAAATTGCAAATAGTATCGGAAATACATTATTTAATATTAACTTTTCATGGGAAAGAGCTATTTTTTTTTAGGCCCTATGTCATTTGTCATCTCAAGGCTTAGATTGGGGAGCCTTAAACTGAAGAAGGTAGGCCTGTGGGTAAACACCTCAATATCGCTTTGTGGAAAATGAAAAAATGCAATACTAGTTGCTGTCTGAAACACTTGTGTCTAATATTTTGTTTTGATAGTGAAAAATGTTTTGAAAACACTACTTTTAAAGATAAGCTGTGGTAAATAGTGATCTTATTCAGCTGATAACTTACATGCAAAACTGTCCTGTACCACAATGCTGACTGTTACTCTAGAATTTCCTTCGTGCAAACCACTGGGTTGAATTTGTAATACTTACATAATTAATAAGGACTTGTTAACATTTATTTTGGGGGGAAATTGTATATTAACTGAAGTGTAATAATGAAGGATTCAGTTTAAGCATGCAAATTAGTACAGCTAAGAAACAAGCAGAAACTGGTTTAAGTCCCTTGAGGTCGTGTGTAGCAATGCATATTTTCCTACTGCATGGTTTTCTAGATAATGCCATTCTCTTTAATTTTTTAGAATAATGATTTCAATATTATCTTTATGCTTTAGTAATGTGCATGTAGGCAACTAATGAAATTGATTGTTCTCCTTTTTGGCCATTAAAGTTAATAAGAAATTGAACTACTGGCTTCAGTAAATACAGGATGAAGTCCTTGATTTCCTTGTGTTTTTCTCCTCTGAGGATTTTCAGAAATTAGTTCTGTTGGTCAGGGAATGGCTGCAGGGAGCAATGAAAGGATCTCTTCAATACTTGATATTTCAACATTAAGTATGCTTAACAGCAGCCAGTGGAAAGCAACCAAACTATTTATTGAGAGAGGCTCATTTAAATGTTAAATTACTTAACGTCATCCCCTGACTCACCATGTAAATATTTTTAATGTTCTACAGTATCAATTTTAAAATGTTTGTACTCTGAGTTTAGAGGTTGTCTTGAATGATTTGGTCATGTAATAGTAGAATCAGTAATTCTTTACTTTTTTGAAAATCTCAGCACAGTATCAGTTTACTGCCACAAAAAACATAGGTGCAATGTTCTTCAGCAAAATGTTGGAACAAATCAGACACGCTAACCTGTGTTGATCCCTGTAGAACTTGATTTTGTAAAGAAGGTATCATACAATTGTACGTTAGGAAAAAAAGTCATAAGCTTTCGTTCTCTTGCTGTGGATTACCTTTAATGGGTTTTGTCCTGGACCGTGGAGATGAAGACCTAAAAGAATATACTTTGAAAAAAGAAGTATATACTTTTAGCATCTAATTTTAAAAACATAATTTTCAGAACAGTTGGCAAAAGTGTACCAGCTGAAGAACATTTTCTGCACTGTGAAATAACAACACACTCTTACTGTAGGTCTGTAGTTTTTGCAGCCTGTGGGATTACATGAAGCAGTGCATCATTTATAAGAAGCAGACTTTTGGTCGTGAGTGCTTGTTGATGTAAAATTAGCTGTTATGTGATTAGCTGATAATGTGATTTTTGAAATGGCTGGCAGAATTGCAGCTCCACAGAAACTGCATTAATTCTTTCATGAACTACCCAGTTAGTAAGCTTGCACATTTCTTTTGAAAAGGGAGTATCTTCATCTGAAGATGTTCCAGCAGATACTGCCGGTGATACACCAAGTGAGACTCAATTTGCAGATGAACATGCACCTGAAGATGCATCTGAGCCAAGTGCGAAGGGAGTTCCAGGAACTAAAAAGGATGTTCTTCCTTCTAAAACTGTCAGTGATGGTAAATTGGTGAAAGGTATGTTAGCATGATTTGTTGGATGTGAAAATATTTGTTGGCATATATTAAAAAAAAAAAAAAAAAGGTTAAGGGAGAGGCAGGGTGAAAACAGGGAGGAGAATTTCATCATGCAGAAAATATTTTCACAGGAAGCATCAAAAAAAGGACTGAAATAAGTAATTTGATTGCTTTCATATTTCTTTCATATCAGACTATCAGGTATTCATGGTCTGACAGAATGAATTGTTTTATTTCAGTTTTGTGCAAAGTTGAAGGCTTTCATCAGTGACCCCAGTAGAATCTTATTTTTGTCATTTTAAACTTGACAGTTACAAGCTCTGTGTAAGAAAGAAGTTATTCCTTCTGAATAAAAGCAGTATTCCTATTTGAAACCGTACACATGGAGGAAGTATGCTAGGCATATTACTCAGTTGTTCAGTCTTCCCGTGTTGGTCATTAGTCATGCTGGAAAAAAAGACCCTTTTCATGTCTAAGTGGAATGTTTTTCCTCTTCCAGTCATAGCAGCAGAGGGACAAAGTAGGAGGATCTCTTGGTAACCAAAGTCAGCTAACTCACTAATAGCGTCCTGAGTTGGAGAGGCGATTGTTTTCACCTGGGACCTGATTTCTTGGCCTGTCAGGAAAAGATACCTTAAAATTTCTTCTTTTCAGTAACAACTAGAAACTTAAATCTTTTAACTAAATCTGAATGCCACTGAAAAAAAAAACGAAGCAGGAAAAACTGACCTGTGTTCCCAGGGATGTGTACTGCCTTCCTGCCATTTCAGTGGCTTTCTTAATTGCTGTTAAGCGTCTCTACTCCCTGCAGTCCCTTGGAATTCTTCTCTTCCCACTCCTCACTGCAATTTCTTTCCCTCCACGGGCTGCGGGCTGCAAGCTCCAAGCTCTTTGCTGTGTTTGTCTGCCTGGCTGTCCATACTGTGCGGTTTCATCTCGGGCTGGTTGAGTAGCTTCCTCAGGGAAGGAGCAATCTTCCCTGTCTTCAAAGACGCCCTATTAAGAAAACTTAATGTACAACAGAAAATAATATTGTTTCTTTTTATGTTATTAATAAATGGCAAACTGGAGCCTGTGCTTTAATAATGATAATAATCTGCTCAAATTTAGATGATGAAATGTCACCAACATTTCATGACAATCCTATTCCAATAAACTTATTTTCATTTCCTCTAATATGGTACAAATCCTACTTTCTTGTAACCTAAATACAGTAATTGGCTACAAGACGGACATAACATCTGCACTAGATTTTTCCTCTGCCTCTGAGGGAATAAAATCCCATGTTAGGATTTGTTTTGTCATATGAAAAAGTTGGAAAAATCACTATTATAATATCTCTTCTCTTGAAATTTTTGAGTTCTTTATTTCTGAGCTTATTTCCTTACCCCAGAATTAGAAGCTGCAGAGCTTGTATTTTATAAACCTTGGTATGTAATTTAATTATTGTTTTTAATTTCCCTAATTGAAATCTTATAGGATATATATACAAAAGGCATCCTGAGAAAGACAAATTTGCAGCAGACCATATGGTAGTAGGTTGCTTTGCTTGAGATGTGTGAGAAATTCCATTCTTTATTCTCAGAAGCTACATTTTGGATAAATGGTTTAGAGATTAATACTGTATTTTTTTCAGAAAATGGTTCTCAACAAACACTCCAAGCAAAATTCTGTGAGGGAAAAGGATAAGTTCAGACTTAAGTATAGTTGTATATTAGCTATGCCTAATACTTTGAAGATCTGTTAATACAACCTAGCTTGAAATGATCCACGATTTCCATTTTATTGTGGTATTCCATGATTTTTACAGGTGTTCTTTTTGCTTTGAGTGTGCTGGCATGAGTGTGTTGTAGTGTCCTTTCATGCTGGAGTAGTAGGGGCTGCTTGAGAGGAATAGTTGACCACCAGTTGTGCTACAGCAAGACAAGCTAAGACATTTGGGGAAAAGTACTAACATTTGCATTTATATCTCCTGTAATGAAATGTTGTTGACTCCCCAAAGTAATTAATTTTCGTATAGATGGAAATAAGTCTTTAAATACTGCTCTGTGATCCTGCCAAATGCTATTGTTGTGCAAACCATTGATTTAGTGTGAAGGAAGCGTAAGGGACCGTATCATACTGCAGCATGTCAGATAGGAGCCTGAGCACAGAGCATTTTCATCTTAAGCCTGGAAGAGTAGATTGTTCACTTGGGAAAAGAAGTAGTACTGAAACAAAAAATTATTTGGGACAGAATATGAAATTATTTATCTCGTCTCAGGAAATGTAATTCCTAAGATGGTTTAGAATGTCTTTTTCCCTGCTGCTACTGAAGTGCGAGAAAAAGACTTTGAGATAGAATTTTATAGGGCAAATGAAGTTTCCAACATTTGCTTAATAAAGGGAAAAAAAAAAAATTGTGTTGTCCTTTTCCCCAAAATAATTAGCTTAACATAAGGATGATACAAAGGAGTTTTTTTTGTGGTGTAGTCTGCATGAGTAATGGATAAAGTCAAGAAATTCAGCCTGCTTTCTACTGCAGTCTAATGATGTGTAAAATCTCACCCATTCATTCACAGCATCATTTGCTCCAATAAGCTTTGCGATCAAGGCCAAAGAAAATGACCTTCTTCCTTTGGAGAAAAACCGTGTTAAATTGGATGATGACAGTGATGAGGAGGAAGAGGAGGGCAAGGAAGGCCAAGAGAACACTAATAGTGCTTCAAACCATACTCCAGCTGTTACCACTCCTTGTCCTGCTCCTGAAGAGAAAAAACCTCAACTTACGCAGGAGGAATTGGAAGCTAAACAAGGTATTCCATGTTACACTTAAAACAAAACGAAAGATTGAGTACTTCAGGCAAACTACAAAACTGCCATGTGAATAAGTATGGCATTTTAGGTATTTTGAATCTTCACTACGTCTTCTTAACAGGAAGCAGAATTCTTTTCCCACAGTTTCCTTCTTATTGTTAAGAATTAAAATCTTCATTGGTTGCTCAGCTAAAATTGGACTTCTAACACACAGTCGAGTTGAGTACTTTGCCCTAATGCATGATCTTTCTCAATTCTATTTTGTTTTTCTATTACAAGCTCTGAGCAAAACATAAAACTTGTAGTTTCCAGGTTGCATTAACAGGGCCCAGAAAAAGGCATGTCCCTTTCTCATTTTCTTCAGAGAACAATGAAATGCTTCAGGCTATTTTTCAGTTATATAGCACTCCCATATAGACTAATATCACCTTGTTGATGTTTTGTTACTCTTATAATGCAATGCCATTAAGTCTTTGTATGGGGTTTTCCTGTTACTGTGTTTATGATGTAAGGGCAGAGCGTATGCTGTGTGAATTTGAATGAAATGATCTTTCAAAGGGATCAGTTTTTTCTCATTCATCCTCAAGGTCATTTCACAACAGAGATTGTTTAATAAAGTAGAGATACTGTCAGTGTTTACCAGCTTAAAAACTTACTATTTCTCTTACAACTATGAGTATGCCACAGGAATTTAATTTTTCATTTTCAAAATGGTTTGTTTTGCTCCTAAGCAAGTAGCAGTTCCTTTCTAAACTTTATTAGCAGAGTATGCTTTGGTGATACATATCTGAAGCAAATAAGAAATATTTCGTATGATAATAAAAATAAAGTGTAAAACATGTTTGGAAAAAGTTGTGTGTTGGAAAAACTGTGCAATTGACCAAAAAAAACCAGTCGTCATGTACATGCACGGAACACAAAAGTAGAAGATGAAAAAGATAAGACAAATATCCATTAGGTGCATAGTTAAATAAATTGGCTTATTCTCTTTTTGTAATCACATAACAATAACTGTTGGTTGTAACAATAGTGAAACAGTTTCTGAAAATTTCTGGAGCAGCCCTTTGTGTAAACATTTTAAGACGTCTATAAATAGAGCTAGAAAATGTAAGGGAAAGATCAGATCTCCTTATTTAGGTAGCTTTTGTAAATAGAAAAGAACA